ATCAACAATAATGTCAAGTACGACAGCAGCGGCGTTAGCTGCAACAACAGAAACTGCAACAACAGAAACAACGACGCCAATTACAAAGAGAGCAACAACAGCAACGGCAAAGTCAACAAAAACAACAGCTGCTATAGCAAAAGTCACAACAACCACAACAGCAGCAACAACGATAACGGCAAAAATAATGGATACTTTCTCCCTACATGAGCCTATTTCATCACAACAGACACTTAAATTAAAAATACTGAATCATTATCCTGTCCGACTTTTAACTTTGTTCTTCCTTGGGGCTCTGACCTCGTTCATCATTGACCACCTACTTACCCAGAACCATATTACCGAATACCCCAAGAATATAGTCAAATTGATTGACACTGCTGCGTGGATACCACCCACGTGCGGTGCTTCAGCGGCTTTGGTTGGATCTTTGTTTCCGTTGGTTGATTATTGGTATTTACGACGACCACATGAGTTTCAGAAAGAATGGAGCGTCGTTATGAGGTAACGAACACCCTAATTTTTGCAAGTGTTTGACCGATTGGAAGAAGGCTGGGAGTACGCATGATTAGACAATTATCTAGTATTTTGAGAGTAGAACGGCCGATGGAACGTCACCCGGCAAACGAAAGAATTATTATAAGCCTAAATTAATATTATAATGGCTAACTCAACAATCTTCTCTCATTCGCTTTTCCTAGATGCCTCGGTGGTTTTATCGGAGTAGTATATGCGGCGACGGTACAGTTGCTATCTAGTCATTGTCCTCATACGACAAGTCTCATCTATTTCCCAAACTGACAATATCGTTCATCTTTAGAAACTCCCATGGAATGGTAACTATCATGTATCCCTAACACTCGCGCTGATGTCGGTTGTATTGTGGTTCCTATTTGATCGAACATGGCACGGGCTTTTTATGTCTGTGCTGTTCTCTTCAATAGGGACCGTGGTTATGTATTTGATGGTTTTGAATGGAGTTTATAGGTGAGTGATGTTTGATGGAAGGGTCTTATAGTTTGGGCAGGATCTATTGAACGAAATGAATCAAGGACTATTTATGGGTGACGTATTGGGGATTAACCATGGGTAAGTGGCAAAAGGTCGTGAAACGCAATTGAAAGAAAATCGTCTACCAAGACGAAAACGTTTCATTTTCTTTGACTCCGTAATTCATCAAAGTTATTATTGACCTTTAGTGATGGCTTATCAACTAGCTAACAATTGCAAGGATCGTAGAGATATTGCATTTTTAAATGCCACTGTTCTCCAATTTGCTAATCAAATACCTTCCTATGCGTAGTTTTACACAAGCAGACTTTTTTGGAGTTAGGTCATGGGCTCCGGTATGTGTGTTCGTTCCAAACTTCTCTTTTCGTTGGTATCCAATACACTGCACTCAATCCCGCGTGATACGTGCTTTTTTCGTTTGTTATTTATTATAGTGTATCCTGTTCTCATCTTGTGTATGTTTCGGTACCATTGGCCGACAGTTGGGAATAGTACCGAAGGAGCTATTTGAGGAGAATGAAGGAGGAGTACGCGTAATTGCGTCGTTGTTTCTGTTGTTGCAGTTTCTGTTGTTGCAGCTAACGCCGCTGCTGTCGTACTTGACATTATTGTTGAT